CCACTACACGTGTTAAACTTTTACATCTTGTATTTTTAAACACTAACACAGCATCACCAATTAACTGGTTTACTTGTATCTTTAAACTCTACAATAGCACCACCAACTGGTTTACTTGTATTTTTAAAAACCAACACAGCATCACCAACTAAACATTTAACTTGTATTATTTAAGTGTATTTTTTGTTAATTTATCACAAATCTTTCTAGAAAATTTTGTACAAATGTGAATCTTTTATATTTTCTTGCAGAAGGTAGTCTTAAAAAATCTCTTCAGAAAACAAACCTTAAAAAGACAAAGACAAACGTGGGAGAATAAGTTTCATAACCTGATTTATACTGTAAGGCAAAATTGAGTTTTTTTGTATTAACACTGACTCTTACAACTCTATACTCAAAATATATGAAAATTAACCTCTGCTTGTTCCTAACTTCTTTAGTTAAAAATAAGGTACTTTCTTCAAAGCTTAATTTCACTTTGCTTCATAACATACAATGCACAGAAAACACACTAGGCATGATCCGTTTACACAACATGCGTGTTCCATAACTACATACTTTTAATACTTTCTTAAACCCAGTACTTAATTAATTTTCTTCACACACCCAATATCTGAATTAATTGGTTAACACTTGAAAAAGTTAACAATCAAATCTGAAAAATGCAGCCAAATTGTTAAGAACTTCAATTGTGTTTTCATCATCCCATTAACATATTTCACAATGCCCCAGTAAAAACATTTTATCACTCAAAGTAAGCTACATACCATTAAGTGTCTTGATAATTGAAAAACCAATATTCATGTATGAATACCTGTAGCTTAAGAGAAGAAAGCATAAATACAACAATTCAATACTCTATCATGTTGTGGTATAAACACAACTACCTTCAAGTTACAAAACATTTTTAGTATTCTATCATGTTGTGGTCTAAACACAACTACCTTCAAGTTACAAAACATATTTAGTATTCTATCATGTTGTGGTATAAACACAACTACTTTCAAGTTACAAAACATATTCAATACTCTATCATGTGGTATAAACACAACTACCTTCAAGTTACAAACATATTTAGTATTCTATCATGTTGTGGTATAAACACAACTACCTTCAAATTACAAAACATATTCAATACTCTATCATGTTTTGGTCTAATCACAACTACCTTCAAGTTACAAAACATATTTAGTATTCTATCATGTTTTGTACCTTGAATGACAAGTGTTGAATTTGGCAGATTTTCATGATGAAAAACTGACACGTTTTTGTTTTCCTTTAATAATTCATATATTCAAATAACAACTTATAAGCATTTTTGTGAAGAAAAAAAGAAAAAAGATTATTTCAAACTTTTGGTGACATAATAGTAAATTATCACCTCTTTGACAGGAAATACTGAAGACCAGTCACCCTCTCCTTGTCATCTTCATTCTTCTCTGAACTTATTACCTTTAGGAACGTGCTTTGTTTGGGGGAGCAAGTAGACTGACAGAAGTTTTTCCTGAAGTTGCTCATGCAAGATGGACATCGACCAAAGCCAAGGGCTTCAGGTGTCCTCATGTTTAAAACCAGGTTCTCAATCTGATTCTCATCACAACAAACAAGTGGTTCATTCTCTTCATCTAGACAGTTGAGGTAAAAAGTACAATAACTTGTAGTGAAGAATTATTTCAGTCAGCTTCTAAATACACCACTAAACTTGGAGGTAAAAGTGTAACACTTGTAGTAAACAGAGAACAATTATTTCAGTCAGATTCTAATACTCCACTAAACTTAGATGTAAAAGTGTAACACGTGTAGTGAACAGAGAATAATTATTTCAGTCAGCTTCTAAATACTCCACTAAACTTAGATGTAAAAGTGTAACACGTGTAGTGAACAGAGAATAATTATTTCAGTCAGCTTCTAAATACTCCACTAAACTTAGTAAACCAGTTAGTTGGTGGTGCTGTAGTATAGTTTAATAATACAAGTAAACCAGTTAGTTGATGGTGCTGTAGTATAGTTTAACAATACAAGTATACTAGTTAGTTGGTGGTGCTGTATTAGAGTTTAACAATACAAATAAACCAGTTAGTTGGTGGTGCTGTAGTATAGTTTAATATTACAAGTAAACCAGTTAGTTGGTGGTGATGTAGTATAGTTTAATAATACAAGTAAACCAATTAGTT